GAGTTTGGGTTGCAGGTATTTGGTCAGTGCGTCCTGCGACTGCGTCTGCCGAGTCGAGGCATGCAACTGGTCGGTGACTAACTTGGACAAGGACGATTAAATGTCGACTGGCTTGCCTATTCTTGCTGTTCGTTCGAAAAGCCCTCATTCCCGGAAGCAGATCGAGACTGTGACGCCAACTGGCTCACCAACTTGTTCCCGATGTCCGAACCACTTTTTACTGCCTCTGGAGCCTTCGTACGTCGTCGCGTGAACTTCTTCAAGCGCAAACTGAAGCCAAACCGTTACCGTTTTGCGATGTCCCAATGCGCCTGCAGATGGCAGTTACTTCCTCGCAGACAAATCAAGTGTACCACAGAAAGTTGTGTTGACCCGCCAGGCGCCTGCATGACATGATCTTCGGGTGTAATGCGAAAGCACAGGAAAAGAGGTCTTTCCTACGAGCTCTTTTTGGTGAACACTTTCTGACTTGAAGCCGTGCGTGCAATGCGTTTCTAACCTTTTTTCTTATCTTTTCTTCAAAAAGGTTCCCCCAAATTGACTTAGGTACTCTGTCGTGCATAATAGTGACATTATTGGCAATATCTAACCAAGAAATGGTATATACGAAGAAAACGCGGGTTTCGAAGAATCTCCTGAGATGAGATTATTGTTAAGACTGGGTTATGACCGGTTTTTCATACAGACGTTGACCTACATACACACACAGATACACTGGAATATACGTGAATCAACCAAACCTTCCTATATTCATCTTTATTATACATTTTGCTGGCAATGTGTATATATATCATGTAGGAAAAGCCCGTTGGTCTTCTTGACTTAGTATTAACGTGAGGATTTTGCAAGAATGAGTCCCAGCTCTGACGAAAGCTTAGCTTATCTTCGCCTGAAACGTGTGAGGATGTCTCGTGGACTGCATCAACTGGAACACCGTATTAAGGCCAAACGGCTGCATGACACTGCAAATCAGCCGACGCTTTCTGGTGAAAGTGACCTACCAATCTCTTCATCATGTACTTCCACACCAAATGAAAGTCTTCATAACAATAATAAATTGTAGCAGCGACAGTGCTAGCAGTAGTGGTAGCAGTAGTTGAAGTAAGTTCAGGCAATGCGACTGGACCAAAAAGAAAAAGAAGAAGAAGAAAAGGTTGATGTTAGTGATGATGATGATGATGATGATGATGATGATGATAAAAAGGAGTAAAAGGAGAAGAAGAAGAAAAAGAAGAAGAAGTTGATAAAGAAGTAACTGGAAACAATAAATTTTACAGCGGTTTGGTTGGTCGTACTTAGCAAGAAATGAAGTGCCCCTAATCATACCATATCCATGCCTTTGTGTATATTTGCATTATTTATTTACTTATTCCTTTCGCCAGTACATCTATAGCCTGTACGGCAGATCTGGATAATCTTTCTGATAAATGTTGGCGTAACCTGTTTTCGAGTGAGATCCAGCTCTGGGGATGTCGGTCAAGTGGCCTGAAAGACGATAGCTCAGCCCGTTTTTAGTGGAATTCTTAAGTTTGTCTTCAGGGTCGCGCCAACCTGAACATCTTCCGTCCAGCTCGGCCAACGAATCTCTTCACTACACAATTTCCCCACCCCTTTTAGATATTCCGTGGGATTTGAACAGAGACAAATTCTGGAGGAGCAGCATTCGCGCTTAGTCGGATCTCTAACTTGAGTCTATTAACTCTACATTTGCGTTGAAGAATTGTTCGTGAAGGTTCAACTTCATAAACTTATTTGAAGAACACGCGAGTCTTTTAAGCTTGTTCTCAGAATTATGAACATTTCTTGAACGGGGATTGTCCTCCATTTGGGGCTGAGCTGTCGTCTGTGCTTTCTCGATAGACCTCCCCACAGCCAGAAGGCATAATTTACGAAGAAAGCTCCAGAATTTAAGTGAACAAGGGCTGCAATCCAACTTAGTTCTTGTATTTTTCTAGCCTCATTTTGTAATCCACGACTTGTCCAACCTCTTTTTCATAACTTCACCATGTTGCCAGTACGACCGCGATGGAGACACAGACAGAATGGTCCCGATAATCCTGCCACAGAGCTTGTGTTTGGTGCATTTACAGAACCCCTGCCAGCATCCTAGTCATGCCATTGTCAGCACCGAGCTACAAACTGACAAAGAGACAAGTGTTATTCATCTCTTGATCAAATTTTCTCTTTTCATTCGGTTCTGGTAATCTCAACCATTCTACATCCTTTCCGTCTCAGCTACTGACTTGTCGGCGGACCAGTCGATTAACCTGTCTCTAAAGGAGACTGTAGCCGAAATCGGGGCCCCACCATCTCGATCTGTCCACCTGAACTCTCACGATTTGACACATTTCTTCTGGATTGCCTCACACGCTCGCAGGTGAGGGAAGCCGGGTCATTGGAACGATGTGGATTGTAGCGACTTAAATTAAAGTCACTGCCTTCGGCTTCTTCCGCTCAGAAATGTCCCGAAATCACACGACCTGTCAGCCAGGAGCACTTGTTATGCGAAGACAGCCTCTAAAATCCAAAAAGTGTGTTTGTTTGTGTGTGTGTGTGTATGCATGTATGCAGGTAAATATGTAGGAATGCATGTATGTGTGTGTATATGTGTATTCAGTAACAATTTTTCCCCACTTGAACCGGATGGAAAAGGGCTCGTCTCTTAGTCATGTTCACCTCGGCCCATTGTTGCTGTTAAAAGAAGCCTCAAAAAGAGTGTGGTTTTGACGACTAATAATTGTACACACACACATACACACATACACAATAGCATTCTTAGTTTGTGTACAGGCTAGACGTATCCCTCGGGACTGGATTAGCTCAGAGCTGGTCTTCACAAAGCTGGCTGGTCATTTCCTTTGCCACAAACAGTCGCTACATCCGCTTTGGTACGGGAAGGTGGTCCAGTTGTCTTGCCAAGCCTTGAGCCACCGTCTAGAAGTGTCGAGTAGGACTGCCGTTGCTTCACCGCAGCCGGGGCCCTCCTTCGTCGAATACAACAGGATTGCGCCACAGTTCGTGGGGTT